CCTGCCCCCCCGCCCTGAACCCCGGGGGGGGGGGGGGGGGCTCCAGAGCCTGCTCCTGCACCCTGAACCAGCTCTGCATAAGGGAGCCCACAGAAAGCCACTGACAGCAGCACCAGACAGTGGAACTGGGTGGCTCCACGTGGCTCACTCACCCCACTGCCTTGGACCCAGGTGGGGGGGAGCTCCAGATCCTGCCCCAGCATCATGAACCGGCAGTATGCAGGTGAGCCCACCAGTGCCAGCCTGTGGAACTGTGGCTCCACGTGGCTCCTCCCTTGAAACCAGGCAGTGGGGTGAGTTCTAGGCCCTGCCCCCGAACACAGAACCAGCACCACACAGGTGAGCCCACTAGGGATGGCTGGCAACAATACCATCTAGCAGAACCACATGGATCCATGCAGCCCCTCATCCCACCTCAGACCCAGTGGGGAGCACCAGCCTATGTTCTGACCCACTGAGTTTGGCCCAGCAGAACTCCACACACAAGGGGCTCATTCTACAATCACAGAGTCTAGAACAGGAACCAAGGTGGTTTAACATAACCACCACCACACCTACTGTCAAGCAAAGACAATTCACCCCCCCAAAGTAGCAACCAAGGCCACTACACAGCCAACCTCAGTGTAATAGATGAAGCAAAACCCCTACCAAATGACCAAGCATCAGCAAAAAAACACTAGAAGCACAAACAATCAAGAAGAAATGACACCACCAAATGGATACAGTAATGCCCCAAAGTCAGACTCCATGGAACAGGGAATCCTTGAAAAGCAATGATCTTAAGAAATCTTGAAGAAATAAAGGAAGACTCAATTAGAGAACAAAATGAAACAAGAAAAAACATGCAGAATATGAAGGAGGAAATCTACAAAGAGATCACCATAAAAAAGAGTGTACCAGAACTTCTAGAAATGAAAGACTCACTAAATAAAATAAAAAATATGACTGAGAGCTTGACAGCAGGGTAGATCAAGCAGAAGAGAGAATTTCAGAGCTTGAAAATGGTGTTTTTGAAATAAGTCAGGCAGACATAAAAAGGAATAAGAATTAAAAATAATGAGGAAAACCAATGACAGATAGCAGACAACCTCAAGTGCTCTAACATCTGAATTGTGGGTATTCCTGAAGGGGAAGAGAAAGGAAAAGGTATCGAAAACCTACTCAAGGATATAGTAACAGAAAACTTCCCAGGTGTAGGGCGAGATACAGACATTCAGATCCAGGAAGCTCAAAGGTCCCCAGACAGATTCAACCCAAAAAGATCTTCCCCAAGACATATTATAGTTAAATTCACAAAGCTCAAAGACAAAGAGAGAATTCTACAAGCAGCAGGAGAAAAGCATCAGGTCACTTAGAGGGGAACTCCCATCAAACTAACAGCAGACTTCTTGGGCTGGCTCCATGGTGCACTCAGGAGAGTGCGGCGCTGGGAGCTCAGCAACGCTCCCGCTGCGGGTTCGGATCCTATATATGAATGGCCGGTGTGCTCACTAGCTGAGTGCGGTGTGGGTGACACCAAGCCAAGGGTTGCGATTCCCTTACCAGTCACGAAAAAGACAAAAAAAAAAAAAAAAAA